TTGTTGGTGCAAGTGTACATATTGACAATCTCATAGGTTTTAATGATAACAAACATAAAAACCCGTCTTGCATTAACTTATAACAAATTTATTGTATTTTTCTAAGAATTAATTTTGATGTCGTCATGTTGGAGGAGTCGAATGCACTTCATTATCCAAGTGTGTCACTTTGCATCGATCCGCATGTCGTAAAATTCAAGCAAGAGTATTTCCAATTATATTGGTTAAATAATATCGATTATAACACTCTAAAAAATAACTCACAATTAAATACATTTTTATAAAACTGTATCCATGTATCCATAAAGATCGACAACTTTTGATTAAACTTTTGAAATTCAAAATCAACTTAACGAAATAATCTTTATAGATTATTGAGATCATCTTTATGTAAGATTTCTTTACCCGACAAAATTTTTGATCAAACTTTTGAAATGTAAGATTTCTTTACCTGACGAAACTTTTGATCAAACTTTTGAAATTTAAAATCAACTTAAGGAAATAATCTTTATAGATTATTGAGATTTGAGATCATCTGTTGCAAGATTTCTTTACTTGATTTTACATTCCGCACTTACTATTTTTATAGTTAAGAAAAATATTATGATTAAATCATGAGTTGTAACACTTTTATTCAAGTATTTGGTTGAGGATTTCATAGTGAATTTTCTTTCTAAGTACATGGTTTAGTTTGGGGTTTTCTACATTTTTTTTTCAATCACTTAGAACCAACCCTTATCAAATAAAGAAACAAAACTGTGATATATATATATATATATATATATATATATATATATATATATATATATATATATATATATATTATTACAAACGAATAGTGATGTTCAATAGAGAACCATTATTAACAAGGAACCAAGAAAACAATTGTTAGCGCCGAAATTTAAAGCGATCAACGGTCAAGAGAATGGATGTACCGTTGTTCACGATTTTTTCATCTTCTTTCCATAGAGATCCATGTTGATATATAAAAAACATATTTTTTCGAAAAAAATCCACTTTATTTTGTTGTTTTTTTCAATATTTAAGTTTTTTTTTATAAAAAAAAAAAAAAAAACAAATTATACCAAAAATCTCAATTTTTTTCCTCTATTAATAAACATCATCAACGATTAAAAAAAACTCGATCAGTTCAGATTCACATTGTGAATCTAAATTGTAAATATTTCAATTTTAACATTCACAATGTGACTCTGACTTACTATTATTCACATTGTGAATCTGCTCAGATTCTCAATGTGAATCTAACTGAAATTTTGTTTTGTTTTGTATTTTTTTTATATGAATATATGTTTAAAGAGTACCCAAAAATATGAATTTTGATATATTTATTAAATTTTTTCGATAAAGAAATATGCCTTAACTTTTCAAAAAACAAAGAAATTTATGGATCTCTATGGAAAGAGGACGAAAAATCATGAATAATGCTATATTCGAGTTTTTTTTTTCGATAAAAAATTAAACGAAGAAAAAAGGAAGTGAATTTTGTTATAATCCGGTACATATGCGTCAATTGTAAAAGTCTACAATCTTTCCTTTTGCCGTTGATCGATTTAAATTCCGACGTTTTAGATTGGTTCCTTGGTTCCTTGATTAATAATGGTTTCCTATTGAATTCTTCCTCTATTTATCATGGGACACTTCTATCAAATCAATTTAAATTAAAAGAAAAAAGGTAAGAAAAAATAGATATCTTTATTTATTTATTTATTATTATTATTTGAAGAAAACCGATCCCAACTTTGTGGTAAGCATTGCCACTGTGTTAAGCACGTTCTTGTATGACCAACAAAGGGGCTAAGGGGCTGTTTGGCAGGATCTGAATTTTTAAGAGGTCTGAATTTCTAAGAGGGTCTGAATTATTAAGATCTGAATTTTAACATGCTGTTTGGTTGGAACCTCTCAATTGTTGTGCTGAATTATAAAAATGACCATTTTACCATTTTGTCTTAATTTTTACTGAATAATTATAAAAAACATACAAAATCAAAATTAACATAAATCAAAATTTATCTTCAACAATTTCTAATGATATTTTGACATATATTTACAAAAATAACATCATTGTTTATATCCCAAGGATTTCAATGTTAAAAAATAACATATTTGACATTGAATGCTGAGACATAATGACAACGAACTTGCAACTGAACTATTGATGATTGATTTGTACTCCTTTCCTTCTCCATCATTACATCAAACATGATAGCCTCTCAAAATTTTCTTTCAAACATTTCAAACTGTAAAATCCAAATTCAACAAGGAAACAAATAAGCTCAATAGCAAGTTATATAATCATTAACTTAAAGTTGAATGAATGATCTTTACATTAGTGTAGGCTTGGGTTGAAATTCAAGCTATTCCAAAAATCACTTTAAACATATATACAGAAATTGCATACCAAATCCATCACAACTTTTCAAAGTATGTTGCTAGAATCGAATGAATTGTCAAAAACTCCAATTGTTATAACTTGTATAAACTACGTTCATTCTAGATAATGATGCACCATTCAGAGTTCAAATATAAATATACAGTTTCATTCACCAATTATGTATCAACATATGTATCTGTGTGGTCTATTTCAGATTCACCAAACAATTGGTTGTTTTATCATCTTCTATATTAAGATTTCAATCAATATTCATATTTTGTAGAACCTTGATACTATTAATTACAAGTTCTATCAAAATTAATGATCTTCTATCTTAATACAGACAATTTAAGACACAAATCTTAAAACAAATACATGTATTTGGAAGCTTACCTGCGATCGTGAGAACCCAGAGCTGCAAATTGATTCAAAAAGAAGGATTATACGCACCAATTTGGGTGGTTAGAGTTGAGAGGCATGGGGGAGATACGCAATGCCTTTTTATGGAATTTGGTAAGGCTACTCCTGTGTACCATTGGAACTGGTTGAGTCCAAAACATCATCGAATTCTCCTGCGAATGATTGATTATGTAAAGGTTAGGGTTTGGATCTTGAAGTTGGAGGATTTAAGTGATTGAGTGAATTGATATACCTAGTCGATCAATGACAGCTGAAAAGGCACTGATGGACTGAAATTGAAACACAATAAGGGAAAAATCTCCAAGAATATGATTAAAGGCAGAAACAGACTAGCGTACCTGAACAATAGAGGAGATCGGAGGACGCATGGTGGAGACTAGCATTGTCGAGGGCAGCGCTGTCGGAGCTAGGCGTCGCAGGTCTGACCTTGGTGGTGTGAGTCGATTGATATCAGAACGTAGGGTCGACGATGCAAGGCGGTGATGTCGACGATGGGGGCGGCGATGCAGTATGGGGTCGACGATGCGAGGAGGTGTTGGAGGGTAGCGACAGTCGGAAAAGGGGCTGTGACTGGCGTCGGAAGTAGAGGCGACTGTGGGAGGCGAGGAAGAGATGAACGAGTGTGGGTGGGCACGAGGATAAGCGCGTCTTTTTTTTTTTTTTCAGATGCCCTTTTAGATCTTACCGAATCAGATGCATTTTTAATTTTCAGATCGTTTTTAAGAGCTAAACAAACAATCTGAATCTTTAAGATTCAGACATAGCCTCTTTTAAGAGGCATTAAGTGGTAAACAAAGGACGTTTAATATCTAATCAGACGTTAGATTTATAAGATTACTGATGTATTTGTATCAGGTGAGATAACTATCTTTCTTATTGTTGTAAGCATTGAATTAAATTAAACACATGGATTTAATTGGTTCTAAAGACATACATATATTTTTTTTTTTCATTATCATTGTATATTTATATTCATAGATGAGCTGAGCATGAGCCATTTATGTTTTTTAAATCATATCATTCAACTCAGCCTCATGCCTCTTTGTAAACTTTGAAAACTTATTTAATTCTTAAATAAATATAGCATAAGGCCCACTTTGGCCCACGTCAAAACATTCTTCTGTCTGGCCTAAAACCAATTTTTGAACAGAATTCACCTCAACCGGTCCCATACCCGACCAGGTTCAGAGTTCAGATAAGGTCTTACCCGAGTTCACCATTACAGCTATTTCAAGTTCAAAATTACCCAATTCAGCAGCTTAGGGATTTTCATGCATAATCAAAGTTTATCATTTGCCATAAAGAGTATTGATTTTCATCAACCAAAACCGTGTATTACATAAATAAGTTATTAAGTGTATTACATAAATAAGTTATTATAATTTACTGTTTCATAAAACCATAAAAATAACTTATAAAATAGTTTATAAGCTAATTTGAGATAACTTAATGTTGATAAGCTAACTTATGAGCTAATTTTTTTTTCAGTTAGTGCGTCGTTAAACGTAGCCTAAGATTATATTTTATGGATAAGCTGAAAAGTCAACCAATATGAAAAGCTAACTTATCAAAAATTGTCATTTGGTTAAACTACAAAACGACATAAGGGGATATGTAGAAAATTAAGGTCTATCTTGCACTAAAAAGCTATTGATAAGCTAGCTTATAAATTAATTGTGTTTGGTAAAAAATAATAACGATTTGACATAAAAAGACATTTAGATATATAACTAAAATCTAGCATTAAAATTAAGAACATATTTAAAATATTTTTGAAAAACTTATATATGCTTCTCAAAAGCTATTTAAAAATAGCTTATCAAAAGTTAGCTTATAAGCTACACCAAACAACAAATTATAATAAACTATAACTTATTTTTGCCAACCAGGGCATAAATTATTCTATATTTGATAATATTTAGAAGAATATTAGAAAAAGCTCAATGAACTCGTCGAAAAGCTAGTTTGAGTAGCTTTTTAAAAAATCAGCTTACGATGCTTTTTGATTTGCCAAACATAACAACCTAAAAAACTCGAAAAAAAAAGCTAGTTTGGCGTGCCAAACATAATTTAACACACATGCTCATTCATGTTTGGATCTCAAAGCTTTGGATCATCAAATCAAAACCCTGGATACAGTTTTATGCAAATTCACTGTTCTTGATTACTACACCAAAAACCAAAAGATCGTACATTGATCAAAACCAAGTAAATAATTCAAACAACAAATCAGAAATGGTAATAATAGTTATTTTTTGTTGACCTTTTTGACCTAAATGTGCAGATACCAGTATACCACATAATACAAGAGAAGTGATCAAGTTGACCGCAAACAGCCGACTCAAAGATAGTTTTGACACAGATGTAATATGTTATTCTCGATACAGTAACAAACATACAACGGATTTTTGTGTGTATATAATATAAGTGATAAAAAAAAAAGCATGTAATGTTACTAGAAACATACGCGAATACCAAGCAATGACATGAACTGAGAAACGAACTGAGGGTGACCTGGCCAGGCTGCTCCGGTTACAAGATTTCCATCCGTAAAGCAACGATCAATTGGGTCCGGTTCTAACCATGTTCCACCACCCAACACCACATTCAGTTTCACAGCAGGATATGCAGTACATTTCTTCCCCTTTTATATCCAACAGTAAAAAGTAAAAACCCTATTTATATTTATAGTAAAACCTGTTTCTTTTGTACAGACGAGAGATTGAAATTTATATATAAATATTTCCTTTACCTTGAGAACACCAGCAGCAGATAGAATCTGTTGACCATGGCAGATGGAAGCTATGGGTTTTCCAGCATCCATGAAATGTCTGACCAGCTTAATAACATCTTGGTCTAGTGCCAAGTATTCTGGAGCTCGGCCTCCAGGGATGACAAGGCCATCATAACTTGAAGCATCTGTGTCTTTGAAATTTGCTGTTAGTTTGAAATCATGCCCCGTTTTTTCACTGTATGTTTGGTCCCCCTCAAAATCATGGACAGCTGTAGGACACGTGTCACCTGCTGATTTGTTGGGGCAAATGGCGTCTACGTGGCATTCAAGAGCTTGTATCGACTGAAATGGAACTAATACTTCATAGTCTTCCATGTAATCCTGTACAACAACAAAAATAGTCACAACTACTAATTATGAGAGTATAATGACCTTTTTTTTAGCTTTCTATGTTTTAAAAAAAAGTGTTCCATGAACAAAGGTTGTTTCTTTTTTTACTGATGAGAGTAAATGACTAGTTTACCCTTCTCTCTGTTTGAAAAAAAAAAAATGTTGTATTAAGAAAGACTTTCTTTTAAGCCTTGTGTCTGTCTGAAATAAGTGGCGTATGAACATAGGTTGTTTCTTCTTTCTACTGATGAGAGTTAATGACCGTTTTACCCTCGTGTCTGATTGAGAAATGTGTTGCGTGAACATTGATTTTTTTTTATTTATTTATTTTATGAATGAACGCGAGTAAATGACTGTTTTAGCTTTCTGTCTTAAAAGAAATGTTGTATAAACAAAGGCTGTTTCTTATCTGTATTGAAGGATAGTAAAGGACCATTTTACCCCTTCGTGTCAAAATGAAACACCCATATATAGATTACAAGATTAAATCCTGCCCTCATTAAGTAAAGATGAAACAACACCTAAATCTTAAGCCTAGATTTCGGGAATTTGACCATGTTCCCCCCACAAATTGAAAAGAACATCAAGGCACTGGTGTAGTGATGTATAGAACTATAAGAATACTGTAGCATTTGCCAAATAAGTTATTAATTAACTTTATGAATAATCTAATAGGCAGTTCATGTTAACAGCCTAATAAGTTGGGGATAATACTGTGAACAACAACCAACTTCTACTTATAAGGGTTATATGCAAGAAATAGCAACATACTTTCAACAATATCTTATTTATAGCATTCTTCTTCTATTTGTCCTATTACAGCAATTACTTTCAAAATTCTATCCAATTATAGCAATCTCATCCAAATCCAAAGCAATTTTAAGATCTTTCAGAATATAATGTCTTAATAAGAAAATAATTGAAAAAGAACAAGGTGTAATGTTATAATAGAAAGAAACGAAGTAGGATGCCATAATACATAAATAAATGCTAGTACGCTGCCATTTCTTGCATTTAGCCCTGAAAGGTTTAGCTAAAAACTCATGTAAATAGAAGTAGGGCTAAATGCAAGAAATATTAATGTACTTTTCAAAAAAAAAAATTATTATATCATTGTAATTTCATGTTTTTCTTATGACAACATTGTACTTTCATGTTCTTATTAGGGCATTGTAACTTTCATAGCTCTACCAACCTATAGCAATGTCAGACAAATACAAAGCAATCTTCAATGGTATGATTGGGTTCGCTTATTAAAATAAGGAGAATTTCATCTATATCTTTGTAAAACTTCAAATTACATATATATCCTTATAAAACCTATAAACTAACATATATACCCAAATACTTAATTTAATCATATTTAATATATTAAAAAAAATAAAAACACCGTCTTTGTATTGATTTTTTTATTAAGAAAAATAATTAACTTGTAACATTACAATATTACCCTTCTCCCACATTGCTATGACTAAATCAAGTATTTGGGCATATATTATAAGGATATACATGTAATTCGAAGTTTTACAAGGATAGAGACATAATTATGAAAGTTTATAAAGATATAGACGAAATTCTCCCATTAAAACATAATGTCATAATAAGAAAAAATTGAAAGTACAATGCTATAATTGGGTATTTTTCAAAGTACTGTGTGTCTTAATAAGAAAAATATATATATAGTTTGTAATAAAAGAAATGGAAGTAGAGTTGTTTAATACACAAATAAATGACAGTACATTACCATTTTTTGTATTTAGCCCTATAAGATATAGACAAAAACTCATGAATATAATAGTAGGGCAAAATGCAAGGAATAGCAAAGTACGTCTCAACTTTTTTATTACAGCATGGTACCTTCATTTTTTTTTCTTATTACATCATTGTACCTTAAAATAATTTCTAATTAACACATTTTACTTTGAAAAATCCACCTCAGTTTTTGCTTATATAAAGTAGGGAGGGAATCACAACTTACCCCACAGAGGAATAGAATCCGTTTGTTGGAACCAGTGACAGTTCCTCCTAATGCCTTGATGAAATGATTGATATACTCAGCATGCCCATCATAAGCAGCCCCAGTGATTATATTTCCATCAACACTGCATGATGCCATTGTCTCAGGTTCCACCCAATGAGCACCTGCAGCAACAAGCATGGGTCCCACAGTAGGGTATGCTGTAACTTTTCGACCTTTCACCACATCAGCAGCTGCCAAGATAAGTTGTCCATGGCAGATGGAAGCAATGGGCTTTTCAGATTTGACAAAATGTTTCACGAGATCCAGAACAGATTCATTGATTGACAGATATTCAGGAGCTCTTCCACCTGGTATAATCAAGCCATCATATGTGCTTGAATCGATTTCATCAAAAGTTGCATTCAGACTGAAGTTGTGTCCACGAGACTCAGAATATGTCTGCTAAAATGTAGTAAAGCATAATAAGATTACTAATACACAAGAAACAGAGCAATCTTATGGGTTTGTGACATCATATGTGCTTCATTTCTATTCCTATGTTTTCACAATTCACAAAAGGCAAAAAGAATTAAAAATTTGTGACATTTAGTCGCTTTATGTTATAACTATACATGTATTCAGTAAGTTTGTGCAGCTTGATGTTCTGTTTGGTGACAAAACTAACACCATACAATGAGCTATGCAGTTTAAATATGTAAAAGATGATGGTATCATATCATATAGTAGTAATATATTAAAATGTAGCACCCCTAACTTCTGCAAGTAGGACATATTACATTCTTAATTTATAAACATTAATATCAATTGAAATGGTTAAAGTTACCCAAACATAATCAATTTGAAAAGTAAGGTAGTTTTAGTAACCATTTCTAAAGCCCATTGTGATGAAATTAGAAATGAAGCAATTTCCACTTGGTAAAACTTAGCATTCATATCATGGATAATCGTAAGATGACAAGCACATAGTTAATTTAACTTGAAAGATTTTGCTAAAAGTAAGAAATTGTATGGGACTTGAATTTGTTGACGTTTATGCAACCTTAGGAGTTATTGCCAATTTGTATGGAAAATCTGCAGATTAAGTGAGAGGAAGACCTGATGAGGAGAACCTTGATGAATAGCAGTGCGACAAATGTCGCCGGATTTTTTACCCGGGCAAACAGCATCGACGGACAATCCGTAAGCTTGCAACGCTTGAAACGGAACCATGGCCTGCCAAACCGAATTAATTCGATCAGAATACTAAATTTCACTTCGAGAACTATATGTTATCAATTCCATCATAAACTCGAAGTAAACATCGAGATCTGTGTGTTTATAGCAGCGAAAGTCAAAAGTTAAGAGTCAAAATAAACAAAAGAAACCTCAGCGTCTTCCATGTAATCGCCACATAACATCAAGACCTTCTTTGGAGAACCCGAATTCGCCATTAGAGATAATCCTCAAACCGAAAATGTGGAGGAGAAGCCTTCGGAAATGATGTAGAATGTTCGAAGAAGTGTGTGTCTGTTTATGGGATACTACTACTTCTTCACTACTGTAACTTCCGTTCAGCCCCTTTCAATTATTTGACCAAACTGATATACCCCCTTTGTATATAAAACTAGACATATTAGCCATTTTTAATAAGGGTTGTGCTCCCTTAACTATATTTACCCCTAAAATCAATCAAATCAAAATTTTGACATGTAATTTGACATCATTTTCTTTTTCTTTTGTCTTTTGTTGTTTTTTTTTTCCTTTTGTTGTTTTTTTTCCTATTTTGTTTTTTTTTTTTGTTGTTTTAATTCTTTTTTAATTTATATTATTATTATGATTATTATTATTATTATTAACATTCGGACGAGATTATAAATTCGAACGGCTATATAAAATCGGTTTTTAAATATTTTTTTATATTTAATATTAATATTATTATTATAAATTTCGAACAACATTTTAGAAATCGGACATTATAAATTCGAACGACTATATAAAATCGGAAACATTGTATAGTGCTCGATTAAATGTTTTCAATCCGCACAACGCACCACGCAATTGTAATACCGTACCAACTAATATCCATAATTAATAGGGACAAACTTTGCTTTTGTTCCGATTTTGTATGGCCGTTCGAATTTATAATGTCCGATTTATAAAATGTTGTTCGAAATTTATAATAATAATAACAATAATAATATTAATATGAAAATATAAAAAATATTTAAAAACCGATTTTATATAGCCGTTCGAATTTATAATATCTTCCGAATGTTAAAATTTTGAGTGAAATTTATAACAATAATAATAATAATAATAATAATAATAATAATAAAGAATTAAAAACAACAAAAAAACAAAATAGGAAAAAAAACAAAAAGAAAAAACAACAAAAGACAAAAAAATCAAATTAGAGGGGGTGTGATTGGAAAAGAAAGGGGGTACTTATAGAAAACCCCTTTTAATAAATTTTTTAAGGGGGTCAGGGAGACGGGGAGGCAAGGTTGGCACTGGTGTTTGTTTTATGGTGGCAAGAACGAGAAAAAGAGAAAACACGTTGGCAGAAGAGGGAAAACACGTTGGGAGAAGGGAGCCCTTCTCTTTGGACCAACCTATGTGCCACATAGGTATTTTTATTTTTATTTTTTTTCAACCTATAACACATGGAATATATAAGGGTAAATTTTATCAATCGTCCATCGTGTAGGTGTCTATAAACACGTTTAGTCATTATTTTCAAAAATTAACTCGGACCGTCCCTCGTTTGGTTAAAAGTTGCACACTTCATCCCTCGTAAGTTTAAATTTGCAAGCTTCATCCCTTACGAGTCATAAGATAACTATTATGCCCTTTTTTTTATTTCTTTTCCAGTTGATTTAAATGTTATAATAATAATTATTAATTTGAAAATAAAAGAAAATAAACCCAACATCCCTATCACCCTACCCCCCACCTTCCTTTTGCTCATCTCTCTTCCTACCTCTTTTGTTAACTCTTGAAAAACTAATGATCCACCACTTTCGCCCAACCACCACCGGAGCACAACCCTTAAAGTCAAAATTCGGCCACTTTTTTTTGTTTGTAGCCTCCCCTATTCACAGAACCATCAACCATTTTTTTGTAGAACACCGCCTTCATCATGAACTACTTCATCAGGAACACCGATTGCCCATCACAGAACCCAACCGCCACACCACCTGTTTCTAACCTCTACACCACCGAAAACAGCAACCGTTGCTGCCACCACCCTCGAAAATTGTTGCCTTCAAATGCCACCACCTAACAATCAAACCTGATGCTGAATACCGACAACCATTTCTGAAACTCACCTTCACCAAAATCACCTAGGACTGCCACGAAATCAGGCCCTGAAAACCATCTCAAACACCTCCTTGAATGTGATCCCCTCTCCGTCTCCGTTGTCGATGGAGAAAATTTGGGTTCGATCTGAGCTTGCTTCTCCAATCTGAATCTCCATCTTCTCTGATTTACAAGTTTAGGGTTCATTTTTTGAGATTTGAATGATAACCGGTGGTGGTTACAGGAGGTACTTGAAGGGTTTTTAGCACTATAACAATCTTGTGGTGCACATACAACCCTAGATGCTTTGGATCTAAGTTTTCTCAAATTATACATGCAATATCATTACATCCAAAGCATACACCCTAGCTAGCATGCAATTTGAGATACACAACATAAAAACTAGTTTGATAAATACCTCTTGGTTGTAGCTTGTAGAACCTTGCCTTTCAAGAGCTTAACACCTCAAATATGATGCCTCAAATGTGTCACAGACACCAAATGCAAAAGGAGGCTTATGAGAGAGGTTAGGAATCACCAAAAATCGGCTAGGGTTTGCTTCTAGGAAGAGTTGGCCGATTTTAGAAGGCTAGGGGTTACTTTTATAGCTTGGAATTCCTAGGGTTTCATACATGTAAACCCTAATTCACCATGACTCTTCACATTTTGATGGCTCTTTGGACTAAACCCTAATGGACTCTCATATAGGTTTAGTCCATGCCTAATCAACATGGATCATTAGCCCAAACTATAAGTATCACTGATTTACCAAATCAGTCCCCGTAAATTTAACTAGTCTCTTTTGATCACTAAATTAATTCCAAATTAATTCTTGATCAATACCAATTAAATAATATGATTTCTCAATTAATATATTATTCATATAATATATTAATAAATCACAAATAACCTCTTTCTCAAATATCCATCCTATCAAATTTCTCCGGTGAAGGCAACCCAAAAGGACCATGCTATTATCGGGTCAAGTACATACCAATTATAGTTATGAGCTTAAACACCTAATCCAACAGTATTGGCGGTGATAGGTGGAGGTGTCGGAGATTAGAAAGAGGATATTAGAGAGAGAGAGAGAGCAGTCTGTGAGAGAGAAAGAGAGTAGCAGAGATGACCGGTCGAATTCAAAGAAGAAGAAGAAGAAAGGAATTTGGGGAAAGGGGAGGGATGGCTTGGTGGAGTCGGCCGAAGATGTCGTCGGAGTATTGAAGTCGGCCGAAGGTGTTGTCGGAGTCGCCACTATGGGTAGTGATGGTGGATAGGAGGTGTTTTGAAGAAGAAAAAGGGGGACGAGTTATGAACGTATGCTTAGGGCCCCCATTTCCTTTTAAAAGTTTTTTTTAATAAATAAATAAATAATAATTACACACAAATAGAAAAATAAATAAATAAAATAAATAAATAAGGGAAAAATGGTCTTTTTATGTCTAGAGGGATGAAGTATGCAACTTTTAACCAAACGAGCGATGGTTCGAGTTAATTTTTGAAAATAGGGACTGAACGTGCTTTCTGACACCTGCACGAGGGACGATTGGCATAATTTACCCAGGCTATAACTCATTCAGCACACTTTTTACATCATTCCATTTTTATTTAATTAAATTAGAAAATATTAAATAAAATAAAACATAACATTTTTTTCATTTCAAAATAAAAATTTTCTAATTTAAAATAAAAAATAAATTCTAAAATAATATTAAAAATAACATTTAATTAAAAAACCACAATACAAATAAAAAAAATACACGATAATTAAAAAACTACACTTAAAAAAGATAACATAATTTAAATCCTTAAACGACAATTAAAATTAACTAGTTATTAACCAGAGTTGGAATGTAGACATGTTCGAAACTGGTGGTGGGTTTCAGCATTGCACAATTCATGTATTATTTCTTGGTCATCGGTCGGTAGAGTGAGGTTGGGCTGATGTACATGAGATATCGCAGCACATTCATCTTTCAATATCATGTTGTGTAGAATAATAAAAGCGTATATTATATTTTTTTGTTTTTACCGTCATAGCTCGTGCATGCATTTTTAATATGCATGAACGTCCTTTAAGGACCCCAAAAGCACGTTCTACGTCATTTCTTGCTGATTTTGTGCCGCCTTGAACCGAATCTTTTTTTCGATTATTGGATATGGATATGCCATCACAAATACAGCCCACGATGGATATATTCCATCCGCAAGATAGTAACCATGCTTGTAGTGTTCATCATTCAGATAAAATGAACAATCAGGTCTTGTTCCATGATATTTCTCATCAAACAGTGGTGATTGGTAGAAGACGTTTAAATCATTGTTCGAACCGGATACACCATAGAATGCATGCCAAAACCATAAATATTGTGACGTCACCGCTTCTAGTATTATTCTTGGATACTGATGGTAACCTTTCATGTATTGGTCTTTCAGTTCCGTTGGACAATTCCTCCAATTCCAATGTGTAGAGTCAATGCTACCAAACATTCCTAGGAATCCATATCTAGCTTCATGTGTTTCATACAAAAGTTGAATGTCAGTGGATGTTGGATGGCGTAAATATTCAACCTTATACATTTGGACAACACCGTAACAAAAGTTTTCAAGAGCTTCATGAGAAATTCTTTCTGACATATTCAGATACTCATCTAACGAGTCTGGGTTATAACCCTTCGCTAATTGACGTATTGTTGATGTGAATTTTTGTAGCGCACTGAAAATCCTCTAATTTGTTTTATCCCATGTTGTTTGAAAATAAGGATAATTCATCTTCATGTCACCAACAAGTCACATAAATAAACCTTTGATCATATGGACACTTATGCGAAATTGCGCATAACCATAGGTTGAATCATCCGCAAAATAATGTCGGATCAACAGTCGTGCACCCTCTAAACGATCTCTTTAGACCGTGTTTCTCCTTTGAATGTTGCTTGAACTAGCATTATTCTGAAGAAGCTGTGCAGTACGAGACAATGCATGTAACAAATTATTGTTGATAAGTTCATCCTCAGATGATGAACTATCATCGTTACCTTCCATTATTATTTTCCGAACATTTGGATTCATTTTGAAAAGAGAGAAAAGATAGAGAGAAAATGAAACAATGATATATATATATATATATATATATATATATATATATCTTATACTATATTATAAAGCGTATTAGTCATATCTTGAATTTTAAGAGGTATAAGAAACAAAGCTTTTTGTACAAATCAATTATGCATAAATAAATCATTAATACTTGCCAAAAATTTAAATACTTGAAT